GCATGCATCCGTGCATGCAATTGTGTATGTAGGAATATATACATATATATAATGTAATATAATATAATATATATAATATTATATACACATATATACATACACACGATCCCTATTACATGACACGACAAGATCCGCGGGGTATGGAGCGCACCTGATTCCAGGCTCTCCGGGAGCACCGGCGGAGGCCCCGAAAGAGTCTTCCAGGGCAGCCCCCGGATCGTCCAGGTAGCACATGAGCGCTCTAGACGGGCACAGGCAGCCTCAAGACAGCTCAAGAGTCCCCAAAGACGCACCAAGAGGCATCCAAAACGCCTCCGAAGGGCCACGGAGGCCCTCAAAAGACTCCCTAGGCGGCCTGAGAAGCCTCCAAGGGCCTCCAAGAAGTCCTTCAGGAAGGCCCGAAAGGGTCAAAATCTCCTTTCGTTTTTGAATGATTCAAGCATGTGTTCTATTCGGCCTTCCGACGGCCCGAGACGGCCCCAACGGCCCCCATGACCGCCCCAACATCGCCCAAGAGGCCAGCAAGATCGCCCCATGACGGCCCTAAAGGCCCTCAAGACTGCCCCAAAAAAGCCCCAAGACGGCCCAAGTGACCTCCGCGATTCGCAGGATAGCTTCCAAGATAAAACTGAGACGCCCCAAGATGGCCCCAAGTCGGTTCAGAAGGGCTATCCAGACAGCTTGCGACAGCGTCAGACGCGTCGGGGCCTCCCTACGACGGTCACAGAGACTCCCAAGTTGCCCCCAACGGCCCCCAATAGGCCCAAGGCGGCCCCCAAAACACCTTTCCCGACCACCCCTAGGAAACGCCGTGAGAACCCACAGGGCTGGTCCTTTGGCCTGGGCTACATCTCGCCTCCGGCTTGAATTTGGATTCGACGCTCGTTCTTCCCCCTCTCGCGTTCTCCTCGGGGTGGCCTCCGGGGACAACGAGGGCATGTCTTACATGATTCGGTACAGCTGACGTCTTTGCTGCCAGTGTGTTACACCATTCGCTTCCAGTGAACTGCATCATTTCCTTCCAATGTGTTGCATAAGCTCCTGTGTTGCACCATTTGCTTGAAGCGTGTTGCATCAAACGGGCAGTCGCATAAAAAAATACGAGTTGTCGCACGTTGCAGCTCCAGTCGGAAATTGATGCATTATTACCTACACGCCTCCGAAAAAGGGGCAATTCGACCGGTTGATCCGGCCCCAGAGCTGCTGGCGCGCACAATCCAGAAGGGGGAAATTCGTTCCTTCTCCTCCTCCCCGCGGCGCGGTATGCAGCCCCCCTGGCTCAAAGTTTTCTGGCCCACCTCGTCCCCATCCTCCACCGTCTGCTCTCGAGCTGGACGGTTGCTGCTCCAAGGCGAGCTTGGGGCTCGGAAGGCCTGATCCCCCAGGTCGGGGCTCATTGTCTGGATATTTCTTGAGGCCCGTACCTTGAGTCCAGGGAGAGGCTTAGGCGCCAGTTCGGCGACTGGGATTTGGTCTCCCGTGTCCGAGGTGGAAACGACATCTCTCTGAAATTGCTTCCCATTTCCAAGGGGAACCCAACCGCGACAAGAGTCCCGATCAGCCCCCTCCTGTGGACTCGCCCACGCAGACTACGGGAACCCACGCAGCCCCTGCACGGTCCGACGGAGGCTCTGCTGCCACGTCGACGCAAGGTTTGTGGGAACGCACAGGGCGCCCTTGAGATCCGAAAGAGGCCCAGCGGGGAACCCGCGTGGCTCGTGCAAGTTCCGACGGGGGCTCTCCTACCACATCGACGCAAGTTTTGTGGGAACGCACAGGGCGCCCCTGAGCTCCGAAAGGCGCCCGGCGCTCCAGCTGCAGGGGCCCGCGTGGCCCCTCCACGGTCCGACGGCGACTCTGCTGCCACACCGACGCAAGCTGTGGGCACCCACAGGGCGCCCCTGAGCTCCAAGAGCAGCCCACCCTGTCGTCTTCGTCGCTGTCATTTCCATCAGATCCCGCGTGGCCCCTCCACTGTCCGACGGCGACTCTGGTGCCACGCCGACGCAAGCTGTGGGCACCCACAGGGCTCCCCTGAGCTCCAAGAGCAGCCCACCCTGTCATCTTCGTCAGTGTCATTTCCGTCAGATCCCCCCTCCTCCGTAGGCGCCTAGGCTCAGACGGCCCCATGTTCTCTGGCTTTCGCAAGGCTGCTTCTGGAGCACGGTTCCTCCCTGGCTCTGCAACTGCGTTTCTCACAGGTCTGCAGTGCCGTCGCACGCGTCACACACGTCGTGCTGGCGACGACGGCCAATCCTTGCCTGCGCAGAGACGGCCCGCCTGTTGTGGCCGACCCGGCGCCCTTGAGCTGCATTGCTCCCGCTGTGGCCTCGACTTCCAACGTGAAGTTTCAGCGGCGCCCAAGTCAGACGAGCAACTCGAATATGCCGCACCTGCACAGCGAGTGCCCCCCAATCGTCTGGCCAGACACGCTCTCGACTGGAGAACACCTGCGCCCAATGCGGCCTCACGGCACCCAGTGACGCATTCGCCCAAAACCAAAACTGGTCTGCAGCAGGGGTTTGCCGGGAGTGTGCCAAGAACGGACGCCCACCCCTTGAAGACGAACCCATCGCGGTCGGCGACATGACTCGGAGTTGCCCGCGCTGCTAAGCACGCCTGTTTCCTTGCGATCCATTCACACTCTTCTTCAACAGCGGCAAATGGGCCGTTTCCTGTAAAGACTTCCTCCCTTGGCCTTCTTCGGCTCTCCTGAGTGCGCAGGGACATGCCACGTGGCCTGCCAGCGATGCGAAGGGACATCACAACCACGACGCTGTCACGAACACTCCCCGCCTCACCAGCTTTACAGCCGTCAGCCGCCGCTATAACAATAATTTGCTTTAGCAGTCCATGGGGTCCACGAGATCCAGAGCGCTGGTCCCGCCAAAGAGCTACGATACGAAGCTTACCTGCGCCCTTCCAATTTACACATACATGGCACCATGGACCGACGCCCACTCTCAGCACAAGACTCCACCGCAATACGGCACCTCGCCATCGATCCTCAAGAACGTGCCCGACAGGCTGTCACACTACAGCTCGATAGACAGCTCCTCCAGCATCTTGAAGGCCTCCATCTGCCCAGGAATTAACCCTTCCATGACCGAGGTCGAGCGCCTCGGCGCAATGAGCCGCCAAGGACCCGACGCAGCTGCCCACCTCAAACGGGGCCCCGGCATCAACGAGCTCGCCGCCATCGTCGACGCCCCAAGCGGTGCTTGCGCCGAGCCGCGCGCTGTAGCAATCCGGCTGCCCTCCACGAGGGCCCGCCCGTGCGCGCGTCGTGCGCGCCCCGCGCAGGCCCGTGGGGTGCGCGTCGTTCGAAAGGGCACTTCTCGCAATGACAAGGAAATCCTGCAGGAGCGTATGACGAGGGGGTTTGGGACATCTCGAGATCACTCTGGTCCTCCTGCTGGTCCTCCTCCTCCTGGTCCTCCTGCTCCCCCGCCCCCTCCTCCTCCTGCGCAACAGTCGGGCCCCAGTGGTCGACGAAGGCTGCCTTCATCTGCTCGCGCTGGGAAACCACCTGGCCATCACCATCCCGAATTCCAGAAAGGTAAACGCGTTTGTCAAATGGGCTGCACAGGGCTCCTGTCCTCCTTATCCTCTTCATGCGTTCCCGAAGGCGTTGCTGCTTATGTTGATGTGGTGCTTGATTGGCAACCTTGGCGACACGGTTCCTAGCTGGCACAACGACCGAACGGTGAAGTTCAGCAGAGAGACGAGCAAACGCATCTGGCCAGAAAACTTCCTGCCTGGTGACGTCGACACTCAGGATGTCCCGAACGAGGCTGTGGGAGCGCTGCAGCTCCCCTGCGAGGGTGATGCCCCCATGGAAGACAGCACGGGCAGCACGGCGCACCACCAAGTAGGGCGCAGATAAGCTCGACGGCTTCCCGAAGATTATTATATTTCTGGCTTAACGAGCTGCCTTACGCATGTGATCTCTAGTATAGTAGCGGTATAGTTCACCAGAGGGAAAAAGATCAGGAGGTTCAGCTTCGATCGCCATCTTCGAACAGTTTCCATACTCCTTACTGTGACACACGTCCTTCGGCATCGGCCTGTCCTCAGGCTTGAGCTGTGTCATCGGACGGATGCTAACTTCAACGGCAACGTGGTCCGACATTTTATGAACCTGAAGCACCCTGGGAAACCCGATAACCTCGCCCCTTGTCGAATATTGCTTCAAAAACCACCCAAGAAAGTTGTGAACAACTCTGTCGATGCACGAGACGAAAAGGGTCCCAGGATAGAAATGCGACGGGCCCGAAGTCTGCAACTCTGTCATAGCTCCCAATACTTCTCTCCATGCACGAGGCGGAGGGGTAGAGGCAGGTGCAGGCTGGCCGTCAAGAGCCAAAAGTCGCGCCTCCGTGTGGCCAAAATTCAAGCCCCCTGTGATCCATGCCATCATGTTCAACGGGTCCCCGCGGGCTTCTTCCGGTTCCGTACGCATATGCGAGGGTGCATCTAGTAACTGGCTACGAGATAAGCCATGACTGTCAGTGTTGAAATGTGGGATATTGTGGGATACCACTCATATTGTTAGCAGCCCGGATCCGCATCAACAATACTCGCCCAGGCACATTCACGATGGAGGAGAGAGAGAGAGAGAGAGAGAGAGAGAGGGAGAAGGATAACCACACATCTGCCTACGCTGCTCTGTGCGGGGGGGAACTTGGGGCGAAAAGTGGCCGCACAACCCGTGAGATAACAATCGGGACGGAAAAACAGGTAAACGAGAAGGACGAGGCGAGGTTGGAGTGGGGGAGAAAGTCCTGGATTTCGGCCTCAGAGCCGCGCGCCTCTTGCACAACAGCAATCGAGCCAGGACGGAGAGGCTTCCTGAGATATCGAAATTTGCGCATGCGGACTGTTGCGTCAAAATACTATAAAACTGCCGTATTCCAAGTTACAGCTCAGACAGGTACTGGAGCAGCGAGGCCTCCACCCCACAAGGTGTGGGATCTGCTGAAGACTCTACTCTGGAGCACCATCGCTCGTGCGCAAGGCCAGGAAAAGCCTTCGTTCGATGTGATATCTCTCGATGCCCTCCGGCTGCATGTTGGTCAACACGTGCATGACATCAAGTATATCCGTGTCAGGGACCGGCCGAAGATGGACGAGCGGCTTCCAGTTCATGGACACCGAAACTTTCTGCCTGTCGGCGTAGAAGGTGAGATGGGGATACACATCCGACAACACTTGTTTCGCCTGCTTGCGCGCGATCTCCCTCTGAATATGCTCCGCGTTTTTGTTGGACCCGACATGAACTTCTCCTGGACCAGCTGCCACTGATAGATCATGAGGGTTTCGCCACTGACCGCCGCGCTGTGCCAGACGAGTGGTAGTAAAGGCATGAGCAACTCGTCAGCTGGCGAATCCGAAAGCACCCTTGGCGCGCACCACGAAGCGCTTGGACGCCGGGTCACCCTCCAGTGGCCTCGCGCGCCCAGGGCTCCATGAGATTGAACACGTTTTGCTTCGCCATGAGGTCGCGGCAACGGACCACGATGATGCAAGGGTCTGTCTCTCTCGAATACGCCGTACCAGGACCAGCACAGATGATTGGGGCAGGCGCCGGTGCCGTGGCGATGCCCAACTCACGCTTCATCTCTGCACGAAGACGCTGTGCATCGGCAGTGACCTGGTCCATCCTCGACTTCTGCGCGGCCATGCATTGCTCAAGAACCGCGCTGCGCGCCTTCACTTCGGAGATTTGGGTGTCGATGGTGGAGGCGAAAGCCGAGCATGAAGAAGAAACAGCCGTGACCCCGGTGTCGACTTTCGTGTTGGCCGAGTCCTTGACCGCGTCAGCCGCGAAAACGAGTTCGGCATGAATCTTGTCGATGTACGCCCGAATATATGCATCTTGTCGATGTACGCCCGAAGATATTCCGCTGCTGGTGCTGACGATGGACGAGCTCCACTTCCAGCAGCGGCAGGAGAGCCGCTGAAGTTCTCGACAGCCTGTCTCTTCGGGGTTTTCACGCCGCCAGTTCCTGCACATTTGGGCATCGTGCTTTGCTTGGCACCCACAAGCACTGATACACGACTTTGAAGGGCCGTGAAAGGAATGGAATGGTTGGACAAAATGTGAGGCGCTGTGTCTTAGGAAGCTGGCTAGGGCCCCTCCCTCGTCAGCGGATAAGCGAAACACGAGACTCCAGGGTGCAGGGCAGGGCTTGTACTTGAGGCAACATGTCTACGGTTATCCTCCTCCTCGTTCCCCTCCTTCCCTTGCGCACTTTAAGAATAAGGCGACCACGACCACGATTACGACCGCGACCACGACGACGACGACGACGACAACGACGACAGCCCCCGCCTGAACCAGTGTCCCTCAGATTGCGCGCCGCCAGGACGGTGACCTCTGGCTCCGGGAGGAAGCGGCGAAGACAGGGGGGCAAGCAGGGCTTATCGGAAGAAAGAGGAGGAGGAAGAGGAGGAGGAAGAGGAGGAGGAGGAGGAAGAGGAGGAGGAGGGAGGATGAATGAAGGATGCCGAGGAGGAGAAAGAGATGGATGGAGGAGGAAGGAAGGAGGAAGGAGGAGGAAGGCAGGGGACGGGAGGAGGAAGGGAGAAGTGGAGGAGGAGACGGGAGGGAGGGAGGGAGGGAGGGAGGGAGGGACTGCGCAATCCACGATAATGTGGGGGACCCGCTGGGGTCCTCCTTCGCCACCGGCTGCGTCCGCCGCGGGATGCTGGCTGGAGCGTGCCCGTGGAGGCGTCGGGGGGTCGATTCCGAAGGGGTGCAGACGAAAGACGAACTGGAGGAATGATGGCGGCAGGAGGAGTGGCAATCGGAGGAGGAGGAGGAGGAGGAGGAGGAGGAGGAGGAGGAAGAAGCTCTCCTGTCGAAGAACTTCTGTCTGCCGCGCCAAGCACACGGATGAAAGGCAACTCGCTTCTCAACGTGATCGACCAACGAAGCCAGAGAGACATACATAATGTACCGAATGTCTAACTTGGGCAGTGGGCAGTGGCAATGCTGTGGATATCCATGGTGATGATACCGCGCCAAGGGCTGCGCTGTGCTTCGCTGTGCCATGCTGCAGTGTGCTGTTTCGGCTGTGTTGAACTGTGATGGGCTCCTTGCTGTTGTGGATCTCGTCGTCTTGAGCGTCGGTGTCCTGACCGAGCTGATCTGTATCTTTGGCTCGAGCTGCACAAACGCATGGCCTGGACAGAGCTGGTTGAGGTCGAAACGTGCGGGTGACTCCACAAATTCGAGCTCAAGAACAGCTTCTGATCCGAAACGGGACGAACCGGCATGGCGCTGCGACGCGCCACGGGATGTGCCAGGGGCGCACCAGGGGATGCGCCAGGGGACCTGTCAGGGGACGTGCCATGAACTTGTCGGGGACCTGCCGCGGGACGCGCCGAGGAGCGCGCCATGGGGACGTTGTGCCAGGGGCCGCCCCCAAGGGGACGCGACGGGGCACGCGCCAGGGGACGCGGCAAGGGACGCGCCATGGAACGGGCAGGGGCATCGCCAGAGGGACGGCCAGGGCGGCACGCGCCGGAGGACGAGGCGAAGGAGTGTGCCACAGAAGACGCGTCAGAGGAGGCGGCAGTGGGAGGCGCCAAGGGGGGCACGCCAGGGGACGCGCCAAGGGCGTGCCACGGCGGGAGGCCGGTGCGCCATGCGGGCGTGCCACTGGGCCCGCAGGGGGAGCTCTCCCCGTGGGGCACGAGGCGTGTGTGTGTGTGTGTGTGTGTGCAGTGTGCCGAAGGGGGGAGGCGCGTGCGCCATGCGGGCACGGCCGCTGCGGCCGTGCTCCCACGGGGCACGACTCGAGCGGGGGTTGTGCCGGCATCGGGGGGCGGGCACGCCGCGCAGGCGCGGCCTCTGGGGCCGCAGGTGGGGAGCTCCGCGTATGGCACGATCCGCGCGAGGTGCGGGCCAAAAGGAGAGGGGCGAGTTCGCCATGCGCGCGCGGCCACTGGGGCCGTCGTGGGTGGAGCTCCCTGCGGGGCAAAACACAAAATGAGAGGGGCGCGCCGAAAGCGGAGGCGGGTGCGCTATGCGGGCGCGGCCACAATGGCCGTAGGAGGAGCTCCCTGCGGGACACGACACGTGTGAGAAGTCTGCCGAAATGGGAGGCGGATGCGCCAAGCGGGGTAGGAGAAGCTCCCCACGCCACGCGGCACGAAATTTGTAAGGCGCGGCCGAAATGGGAGGCGGGTATGCCTTGCAGGCGCGGACGCTGGGGCATGTGAAGCTTCCCCAAGGATGCCAAACGTGTGAGGGGTGAGCAGAAATTGTGGGCGGGTGCGCCATGCGGACGCGCCTACTGGGGCCGTATGCGGAGCTCCCTGCGGGTGTGTCGGAATGGGCATGCGCAGAGCAAGGGCAGGAGGAAGAGGAGGAGGGGGAGGAGGAGACAAGAGGAGAGGAGACGCGCAGCGACGCGGACTCAAAACGAAAGCCCAACTCCATACAGACGTTGGGACACACATTCTGGCAATTATGCTTCAAACTCCTCCTCCCCCTCCGCCTCCTCAAAGAAGTTCCGGGGGATCAAACTTCACGTTCTCCCCCAATTTCCTGCGAATCCTCCTTCTCGTCCGTGTCCGTCTTCCTGGAGCGAGCGAAAGCGCGGTCTGCTGACCGGGCCACAGAGGCCAGGCCTCCTCCCGGGAGGACCCAGGGGGTTCCAGGCCGCGACAGCGGAGGAGCAGCCTGCACATCCGGTGGAGGTGGAGGTGGAGGACGAGAAGCAGCGGCGGTAGCGGCAACCCTGCTGCTCTCTCTGCAGCTAACAATTACACAATCTGAGTATGTACTACTCTCCTTTCTCCCATGACTCTGTCCGTAGAGTGTCCCGTCCTCTCCGCGTATTGTTTTTCTACACAGAACTCACTAGTTGTTTGTTCCCATGTGTTTCTCAATCAGGTCGTTTCTAGTTCTTCCAAAATGGTGCTCCCGCTGCAGCGCCGCCCGCATTTTCGCGCTTCTGTCATTCAAAGTCGTACTCCCGCTGCAGCGCTGGCCTTGTTCCCGCGCCTCCTTACTACGACACTTGGCATTCGAAAGCGCCCACATCGAGCAGGCACGGTTGCGGAGGCCATGGAGCCGGCATTCTGGACAGGCCCTGTCCTCTCGTAGACGGCCCATTTACCCTCCAAGTCATTCTGTGCCATGCCATGACATGCAATGCGATGCTGTGTTGTGCACCGCTGTGCGATGCAATGCTTCGCTAGGCAATGCCACACCATGCTATGACATGCAATGCTGCATATGCTCTGCCGTGCTCTTCTACGCCATGCTTTTTATCCATCGCGTACCTTGGGATCAATGCCCTGCTCGACATCCGACTGTGCGAACCATGGTAAGGGACGGGAAGGAGAGGTAGGACGTCAGATGTGACGCTAGCGCACCTAGTTTGCCCTACTCCCACTCCGCCTTCTCCTCCTGCACCCCTCGTCCCCATCATCATCATCATCATCATCATCATCATCATCATCATCATCATCATCAACATCATCAGCATCATCAGCATCGTCGTCATCATCATCACCAGCATCACAAGCATCGTCGTCGTCATCATCATCATCATCGTCATGGCCATCGTCATGGTCATCATCACCACCACCATCATCACCAGCACCAGCACTAGCACCAGCACCATCACCATCACCATCATCATCAGCATCATCATCATCAGCAGCAGCATCAGCATCAGCATCAGCATCAGCATCATCATTATACTCAGCAGCAGCATCATCAGCACCATCATCATAGCCATCATCATCAGCATCAGCATCAGCATCAGCATCAGCATCAGCATCATCATCATCATCATCATCATCATCATCATCATCGCAACTCTTACCATCGTCATCGCCGTCATCATGATCATTCCGAGCATCGCCACCACCATCACCATCATCATCGCCATCATCGTCACCACCACCACCACCACCACCATCGTCGCCACCATCATCAGCACACGATGAACTCCAGAGCTCTGCTTCGCTCGGGTGCCAATCGCCCCGCGCCCACCACGCCACCCCCGCAGGCCCGCCCGTCGGCAGAGGACTCCGCTCGTCGGAGCAGGGCGCCCGCAGTGCACGGCAGATGCTTGCCCGCCTCGGCACCAGGCAGAGGCGTCCCAGCGTGGAGGCCAGCTGCAAGCGGACCACATCACAGCGTGCCGTGAGGAGGACCGGTGCGTGCTTCTGGTGCCCGCGAGGGTAAGCACGATCCGGTCGACACACGATCCGGTCGACACAAAGGCCCTCCCGTCCTTGAAACCGGTGCTCGTGAAGGCTG